ACCTGCCTCTGACAACCCGTATCCGCGATGATGTAAGCCGAACTGCTGCCCTGGTAGTACTGCAACAAGATACTGGGACCGACAGGTACAGAGGGCTCAAACTCGGAAAGCGGAGGGGCCTGGAAGAAGTGCTGAAAGCTCTTTTCCTCAGTAGTGCCTTCCTGAAGAGGCTCATTGGCGCTCACCATCCAAGAAGCTGCAACGCCATCCGCATCCAGCACCAAGCCTTCGAAGGAAGCGCTGGCGATCTGAGCATTCTGGACGTTGTACGAAGGGCAGTCCTTGAGCCAGTGATCCGACGCTCCACATCCCAAACACAGGCTGCCCTGCAGCCTTTGCTGGTGAACAGCAGGGTCCGTCGTCTTGGCCTTGCCCTTGAAGCCAGAGCCCTTCTTGCCGGAGGCCTTGCCGAAAGAGGGGAAGGACTTGCCCGAAGCCTTGCCACCGGGCTTGCCGCGACCTTTACCGCGGCCCTTGCTCTTGCCCTTGCCTTTCTTGCCCTTGCCTTCGGTCTGGTAGTAGCCGCGGGCCTGGACCAGTCCTGCCAACCGTTTGCTCGTCACGGTGAGCGCCTGGACCAAGCTGCCCCAATCCTCGTCCTCGGGATAGGTCTCCTCTTCGTGGTGAGACCAATCGGGGCCTTCGTCGCCTTCGCCGTCGGGCTCGCCGTAGTCATAGTCCTCGTCGTAGACTTGTCCTTCTCCAGGATCGTCACCTTGAGGTTCCGGAGGAGGATCCTCGTCCACAGGAGGAAGACCTCAGCATCCGCCATTTCCTCGTCGGCATAGTCCTCCCAGTTCGTATTCCAGTGACGCCACTTCCGTGAAGGTAGCCCCGACCTTGTAGAAGACGCCGATGAGGAGGCCGTCGAAGATGAAGTGCCGCGGCCTCGTCCTCTTCGGTCTGACCGAAGGCGAGGCATTCCCGTGATGGTTAGACCGGCGGGGTACTGTATGGAAATAGCATTGAGGATAGCTCTCATGTCGTACCGGTTACCCGCGGCCAGGAGCAGAGAGGCCACGCTCTTCTCATCCAAGCGCAAGCCATCCAGTAACTTGATTACTCTTGCCTGCTCCGGGTACTCGGGGACCTGGTTGTCCTTGAGCTTGCGCTCCAAGAGTCTGAAACGACGGACAAACGCATGCACACTTTCTCCTTGCAGCCTGCCCACGTTCTCAAACTCCCGGATCGTGCCGCCCTGGCGGAACATCTCCTTTGCGCCGAAGCTGCGCTCAAGGTCCTGCAGGAGGAGCGAGATGCCCCCGTCGGTGTTGTACCGAGTATCCTCCATTTCTTCCATTTCGATCTCCGCCTCACCTTTGAGGTGTTCAAGAGCTCGCAAAGCTTGCTCGTTCCCAGGTAGGTACTCCTTGGTGATTTCCACCCACCTGAGCAATCTCCGCTTGTAGTGCCGAAAACAGTAGGGATCGGCCTCGATGTCCCCGCTGAACGTTGGTGGAGGAGGGACCGCACCCGATCTCCATCTTTTCTGGTCAGCAGGGTTGGGTCGAGAGGCCAAGCCGCCCCTCGAGCCGCGCTTTCTCCTCGAAGAGTGCAAAGTCTCCACAGAGGAAGGAGCGGCGCCTGAGCCAGCATCGCCGAAGGGGATGCCGTCTTCGAAGTCTGCCGCAGGTGCGCCTGCGCCGATGGCAGCATGAGTTTCCTGGGCATGCGCGCCGCTCAACAGGTCATCATCGAAGTACATCGTCGCAAAGCTTTAGCAGCCCAAGCCTAGCCAAAGCGTCGCTACCAATGTGAAATTATTGCCGTAGCCGGAGCCTGGATCTCAAAGCAACAGGGCTGCTGGCTTTTTCCCACATGGCTCTAGATCTGCAGAATCCCTTCCCTCTAGCCGATACGGCGTAGGGTCGTGAACATGGCAGAGGCTCAACAGATCGTTAGATCAGCACTCCTCAATATTTAAAATGCCTGTTCACTCCGGCACTTCAGCGCCAGGCAGCGTTGGCTCCATTAGGATCTATGTCCGTGGGGGCTCGGCTCTCCACAAGAGTAACCCAAGGATCGCTCATCCATTTCCGGAAAGCGTCTCTTAGAGACCTGGATCTCTTGGTCAAGACATCGGCCAGCTGCTGCTCAGTTGGCACCCATCGCAACAGCCTGCACTGCTGCCGAAGAGTGGCGATACTGATCTCGACGCGCTTCTCCGCGAAAGTAGTGCTGAGTCTATGTATGGCATCCCATAGGCTTCTCGCGTCCGTGACGGGCAAGACCTCGATGATCGGCACCTCACGAAGAGTGGCCGTGTATCGACCGTCCACCATTTCGGACAGCATGGTTGCCAGGAAGTTCCCGTAGTCCTCGG